TATATCTTTTATGTTACAAACGTGCGACCCCAGTAACCCTCTGGGGGTAAATGCCCCGACAAACTTGTGTGACAAATTATGACGCAACAAAAACCATAAAAGTCCACGGTGTGACCCATGCCTTACATTTTCACAGGTGTAATTTCAACTTACATAACTTCGTTGTGCAGTCCCACCGTTTGACCTGCCTCTTTGAGTCACAAGTTTCTGATTTGTCTATCCTATCACATTGAGTCAGCAGAATTCACTGTTTAGCAGCCCCGTTTACCAACATGAATTACACACTACGGTTGTAATAGTGTGTGCCGAAATTGGTCAATAAATCACATTTGTATGAAAATTTACAAGTCTATATGTAGGTCACTTCGAACCCTATTCGTAACAGAATTCTCCGGCGGCACTTCTTCTTTGATACTAAACAGGTTCGTACTCCCTCCTGAAGCACGGGCACGGCCACGGCCAACAAGGACAAAAATAAGACCAGCAAGCGGCGGCACAAGCAATAATGAAGGCAAAGATAGCTATTGGCATAAAAATGTTGAAAAACTTATCAGACTTCTCATATGGATCGCGATAACAAGTTCCATCGTAGCAAGACATGTCCGAGCCACAATCAGAGTCCGAATAACATGAGTCTCCGTAGCCGCAGACTTCAGAATTTCTGCATTCATTGTTGCAACAACTCTCATTTTTCTGACAATCGCTGTCGTGATAACAGTTCTGGTACAAACAGTTTGACGCGAAATAACATTCATTCTGGCAACAGACTTGATCTTCCTCGCATGAACTGCTCTGGTACGGGCCACAGGAACCACTGTTCACAGTCACAAAGGGGGAAGCAATCGCAACAAACAAAAGCAACTGAACTGTAGAAAGTGCAGCCATAAGTCTTAATCTTCGATTTACAATGCAACTCAGCAACAGGAGAACAGGGCGAAAATGAAGCGAACTGAAGATGCGAGAAGCGGACACCCCTCACATGATTAACAACAAATATTCCTTTTAGCCATGATGGCATGACCCCCAAAAGGTCATGGAAATTTGTGGGGCGTTACTACTAAACAGAGTAACGCAATAACGAGTAACGAGTAACACCGTTACTCGTTACTCGCGCGAGTACAAGTTTAAAAGTTTAAAAGTGCGTAGAATCGAGTTTTTAGTATATGGATGTATACTTAATTGGCCACTCCACATTGGGCCTTTGCAGGACCAATTAAACAAACAATGATAAATAAATATTCAAATAAATATAAATAGGTTAAGAATCCCAACTGGCGGGAGGCAGACCAGTTGGCTATTTACAAGCGCAGCCGAGAAGTTGAACTCGGGGCTACCGAGAACGACATTAGCTAGCGGTCAGAACGGGATTTGAACCCGGGACCTACGGATTTCAAATCTAACCACTCGGCCACGCTGCTTCCATGGATAGTAACTATAAAACATATTCACAAAGCAAGCCTGACGAGTCCTAGTTTTTCTGCGATACTATTAAGCCAATAAGCTACAAAATAAAGTTAAAGTGAAATCACTGTGGCTAAATGACTAGCAACAGGTCAAGTTCGACGGAAAGTGTTATATAAATCACTCTCTTCAGGGCATCGTATGTTTCTTAGGAAATGCGACGCGATTTCTTAAGTCATTTTGGTTGTCTAGTTGACGAATAGCATCAAAGCTTGAGCATATGCTCATATATAGATTTAGCCAGGCCTAAAAGTGGAGCTCCTATTACAATAAATTAACCTGGCTTAAGCCTGCAATTCAATCAAAAACAGTTTTTGGTCAGTGGTCAACTTACAAAAAATACACGTTACGAGCTCTAAACCTGAGCCCGCAATATAGTCACGTGATACAGGTCAGCGGATACCTTGATTTGAAAGGTGTTAATTGACCATAGCATGGATGTCCAATATCAAATATGCACTTTGTGAACTAAGGCTGCTTGCCTCGGTTGACCTTTTAGTTGTAGTACAGTATGGCCGCCATGTTGCGCGATCGTTGTTGTTTTGCGTCGTTGGGCGCACGCGCTCGCGATCCACGCCGCTAGCCATGTTGACCATGAGAAAGGGTTGCATGGTCTTCGCTATTTCTATGCATACACGTGGTTTGGTTCCTATAGTTATGGGGCTCCGCTTGGTGGCCTTGTGAGCGGCCGGAGCTTCGCTATTAAAGGCCATGGCTCGTCGAAACCAGGAAAATATTACAGAATTTCGACAGTGAGAGCCGTTCAAATGCTTCAAGAGTACTTTTTTTTTTTCCTATTGGAAGAGACTGGGCGAATCATCGGTACGCGATTCCGTATACGGTGTGGGTTTGGTTTGCAATGCAGGCGTATTTTGGCGAGAGAGGGCATTTTGACCAAGCGAGCGCCATCTTGGATTCAGGCTCGGAAGAGGCTTAGTGTGAGATGAAAAGACGTGTTAGGGAATGGGTGTTAGGCTGAAAGAGGATTAACGGGGGAGTGGGAGGGGAAGGAAAAATTCGCGTTTTCTTCCTTTTCTTCCCCACCCCCTCCCCGCCCACTTTTTACAAACCAACATGGCAACGTTTTCGATTAGTATACCATGGAATATGACACTTGTCACTTATATTTTCTTGGTATACACTCTCGCCTAAAGGTTCGCTGTATATACCGAGAAAATACAAGTGACTCGTGGGATGTTCCATGGTATACTAACCGAAAACTTTGCGTGACTAGTATGTATGCGTGACAAAGCGCAACGTTTTACATGGTGCATAGCTCACCGTCCACGATCGATATGTCTTGCCTCTACTGTGTGATTCGCAGAAAGAAAACGTGATCACCAAAAATCAAAAAGGTTTACTGGCAGGGCTTAACATTTCAAGTTATGCTTTTTCGTTATAACGTTTAATAAGCTAATTCTGTTTAGTTTGTTAGTTATAAGCTCTAAACTTCAAATTGGTAGAGCAACAGTCTTATGGGTACAATTATGACCACATAACACAAACAAGGAAGATATCTGAGCATTGTAAATGCGGGCCCTTTGGATTCATATAAAGTGATAAAACTTGAAAAAAAAGTTGTGGACCCGCCTTAAACAAGTTTGCTTGAATGCAAGTCCCCGGAAAATAATTAAAAAAAGGATCAAGCTTTTAAATTATCTTTAAAATAGAAGTCCTTAAAACTGCTGACGACTATATAACAATCTTCTCGTTGACCTTTGTTGATGAACGACATAGTGTCTAAATCACAGGCCAGGTCACAAGTGATGGTTAGACCCTCCATCTACTAATGCACCATGCCATTCCACGGAAATGCTCATGACGGGCGACCCATATAGTTTACATGTTAGTTTGGGCTTACTCCAAAGATAAATTTGACCTTTCACGTAGAGCCAAGTAGCTAGAAACGACTTCCCAATAACTCATCCCCAAAAAGTTATTAAAAAGTGTAAAAGATGCCAACGTACATCCTCCGTGGGTAAACAAGGAGGCATATTCCTTTGTTCGCAAAACGATGTTTTGGTCAGCTATAGGGTATCGATTTTGGCCATTTTGGTCTCAAATAGGGCATGGTTTTTGCCCTCTAGTCTTGAATTCGTTATGTTTTTTTAGAAAAAGCTAAGACCATCAACAAAAGCTTCTCAACGGTCTGAGCTAATTTATTATAAGGCAGGTCTTGAAACAGGGTATTGATTGAAGGGTGAGGGGATCGAATTTTTGGTTAGGTCAAAAGTAGTGTAGGAATATCGCAGATTTTGGTCTTGAGGTGGCTGAACACAGTTTTTGATACCTGCGTTTCATTCCCCTTTTTCTCTAAAACCCTTGATCCCTCGGTCGCCAAAAATGGCAGCAAGCAAGTTAACAACACAAACATTGGTTTTTTGATAGTTAAGCTGCCATATGTGCTGTTGCCATGGCAACATGAATAGATATAAATGGGCCTTTAAAATCGGTTCACTTTATTTGTAGAAAATCTAGTCATTAGATTTTCTTTATAATTTGCATGCATCAAGCTTGTAACGCTATTGACAAGTCAACACCATTTTGATAATAATTTAACAGAGAGATCTTTAATTATCCCTTATTGAAGGTTTACTGGAATATCTAGAATTTCCTTTGTTAAAGTTCTTTTTTTTTTCAATAATCCAGTTACTTATTTCCTAAAGTATTTTCGTACCAAATTTCGGGAAATTCTAATTAGTGGTTCTCGAGAAATAGGCGTATTTCCGAGAGTGCAATTTTTCATTCAATCGCAATTTTTTGACTTACTACGCATGCGCTGCATTTAACTGGGTTCTTTCGGTAACAAAGAAAAAGCTGAGAATTGCTGGCTTCCTTGCATCGTTACCTTTTCTAACATATGTTTGTAATAAAAGATTAAAACCATCAATACACTGCGTTCAATTATAGAGAGAAATAGCACAGATAGCGCGGGTGTTGGGTGAATAAAATGATCGCTCTATATTGACGGCATGTTTGTTTTTTGCAATCCTTGTGCGCGCGCAGCAAAAGCGCGCGCGAAAACTGTGTTCGGCCACCTTAGATAGGCTAAGGGTTTTGAGAAGTACTGGGCCGCACATCGTCGCCCAATTTTTTTCTGGGAGTACGCCCCGAAGCTAAGAAGGGGCGCCGATACGGCTGCTGTAACAGAAAATTCTGCCATTGAATAAAAGTTGTTACTATTGGCCTGTGATACATTGTGATTGATATTTCGTCCAATGTAAGGACCGTTCAGTTAGCAAATTCTCAAAAAGATAAGTCATTTTTTGATCCGACTAGTTCAGACCTTTGTACTGTGAGACGGTGTTGTGCCTGGGGTCTTGTGAGAGGCCGCTTTTGTTGATGGGCTCATTAAACTCCATGTTAATGTCACGAAACGCAAAACTGTGGTCTGTTACAAGTCAAAGAACCCTATTGAGCTACAACTTTGTAAAACATCAAGTAAAGTTCTGACACTAAAAACTCAGGAGGATTCTGGCAAGCTAAGATAAACGTCAAACTTTACCGAGAGAGGACTGGGTCTAAACGCGCTTTCTTCCTTGTAAACAAGGATTATTTGTGTCTCTCATGTGTGGAACTTTACCACTCGTGATCACGTCCACGAGATTTTAACTAAACGAACCACTGAACTTCGACTTTCCTCGAAGCTCAAGACCTGAAGGGAAGCATTTTAGTCGAGATGTCCTGCATCGGACAGACCGTATTTCATTCGGTAGAGACAAATCTGAGCTTGTTTTTCAGCAAGCATTCAATGCTTAGCGAAGCACTTTCATTGTCGCCCTTGGTACAGACCACAGCAGGTCAGTTGATGAAGATTTTCTGTGTCGCCCGTAGTTTCTCTACTTTTCGACTTGCTTTGAAAGGGACAACATATCTTAGTGCTCGAGCAAATCAAATGTTACAGCAGAATTGTGGATACGATTATCAGGACAGAGAACCGAAAGAGAACATACACCTTGGCCTTAAGTCGAGAAACGCCAAGTTCACTCCGAGCTTAAATACATGTATCACCGCTGAAAACCTCTTTGACTACGGAAGATCACGATTAAAGGAATTGATTGAGGAAAACACGCCAGAAAGCCTCCAAGAAAGCGAGTTACTGAGGATTTTTAGATCGGCTGTAGGTTTACCTACAGATAAACGTCTCGGGAACACGGAAGGCATTCACAGCTGTCAATCGTTGAATGACCAGGACAGCATTTCCACTTCTTTCTGGCATGTTGCTGAGGAAAGGTGGAAGGAAACAACGGAGAAGCTTTCTTCATATACACCAGAAAAGATGCTTCACAGTGCCATAGAGGTACTTCAACGTAAATGAGGTTCATGCTGGGGTTGTGAATGGCGCTCCAAAAAAAAATCAAAATTTTTCGGATTTATAGACTTTATGATCACTGTCTTGGAAGCCATTTAGATGGGTAGGCAACAGCGTCAGAATTGCAGCGTTTTAATGGGAATCCAATGGCAAATAATTTGAATTAAGAACAATTTATGAATAGAAAACAAAGGATTGCATCGGCCAAATTTGAGGGATGTATGACTGTGCTATAGAGCATCCATTTTTTAATTTTCCATACATTTGTCTGTATTTTTTTTTTCTGCGAGCTTGCACACGGCTTACAATTTTGTGCCAATTTGCAGAAAAAAATCAGATGAATGTGTAAGAATTAAAAATGCGACTGAATGCTTAGTACATGTAGCCCAGCTGTGGTCAATGCAATCCTCTAGTATCTTTTGCTATTACCATCAGATTCCCATACTAACATTGCCATTTCTGATGTTTGTTGCCTACCCATCAAGACGGCTTCCAAAACCAAGAGAAGGTCTATTACACAGGTTCTGCCATCCCTAACTTTTTGTGGTGTGTTCCCTAAGTCTTGAATTCTTTTGGGAGGATAAAATAGTCTTGGGCTTGCCTAGAGATATTAAGAAGTAGAAAACATGTACCGTGTTTCTATTGAGTTATAGAAACACAAGTGGAAGTTTGGGAGAATGAGAAATGCTGTGGGAACACGAGCCACAGGCGAGTGTTTCCACAGCTTTTTTGAGCTCTCCCAAACTTTCACAAGTATTTCTATAACTCGATAGAAACACAGAGAACATGTTTTCCATTTCTTTTAGAAAACACCACGACGAAAAAAAGGAAACAACTTGTTAACTTTGATTATCAAAATGTAAATTCTCTTTGTTTGCACCATCATTACACCAACAGCTTGTGCTAGTTCCAGAGATTCCAACCCCTTTTGAAGGAAAATAGGGAGACTCTTTTAGCATCGAAGACGGCAGCCTCTAGGGGGGTCTGGGGCGATGCTCACCGGGAAATTTTGCAAATTTAAGTTTTCTTCAATGTCTTTTCCTGCATTTTGGAGCTGCTAAATGGAGTAAGACTGCTGGCCTGATGAGTCTGCACAACACATGGCGAGAGATGATGATATGAGAAGAAAGTGTAATACATCGCAAAAAAATACTTAAGATTAGCATTTTTTCCCTTGTTTTCACAATTTTATTATAAATTGGGAGAATTTGATAAGAATCGGGAGAGCGGGAGGCAACACATCAGATCGGGAGTCTCCAGATCAAATCGGGAGGGTTGGAATCTCTGTAGTTCTGTGTTTCTATCGAGTTATAAAAACGTGATATTTAAGTAATCAGTGCGTGTGTTTTCTTAGGACTGTTTTCTTAGGACTATTTGCTAAATATCTTTATTTAGTCTTGAATTTACCATTTGCCACTGCTTTGAGTAGAATGCTAGTTCCCATTTTATTGTTTAATTAGAAACATCATTTGATAGTTTTTTGGAGGATACTTGTTGCAGACACAGTGGTCTCCCCTCCTCCCACTGAGTTGGTCATGGCAGGTTGGGAGTGTGGAGTGGGTACAATATCCTATATTAGTATAATTTCCAGAGGTGATTATAGGAATTGGATATTCTGATTGGTTGAAAAGCTCATCATATGACACTATATTCATCCCGTTAGAGCTTGGTTACTAAGCTCACCATCTTTGCCATCTTGGGAAGTAAACATGGCAGACAGTTGCTGAATGAAGTTTTCATTTATTTGAAAGACGTCACTCCAAGTCTAGGATATTTGAAAGGATGGAGAATTTTAAAAAATGACTGCTGTTGCCCTTGGACCAAAAATCTTTTCAAGAACTCGTGTTCAAGGCTTTTAAGAATCGTAAACGCAGTGGCTGTGTTGATCACTTGCAGGTCAGATCGATTGACCAAAATTTGTTTTTCTTCAAACTAAAGCTACTCATTTTTAGGGGATGAAGACAACTGTGAATGAAGTCAACAATGATAAAAGGAAGGTACTGGATAAATTTATTTTTGTAGTGTTTCACTCATTTGTTTTACTTCCGAACTTGATGAGTAAATTGATTGACAATCGATGTACATATAAGCTTATTATTAAGACTACGACTGTATATGTGTATGCACATGAACAATTGTGCCTTTGTTTTTATGTGTTAGTCTGTTATTTTGTAGTCCTTGATATTCACCTCTGAAAATTATACTAAAAACAATTGTTCATCTCAGGCTCAGTGAATATTGGTGAATATTCACCTTGACTTTGTCTTGGTGAATATTCACCGATGTTCACTTCGCCTTTGGTGAATAATTGTTAATTATTCAACTGCATGTTGGCCTAATAGTCAGCATGGTGATTTCTGGATCAAGCAGTCCAGGTTTGAGCTCTGACTGGGGTCATTGCGTTTTGTCCTTTTGGATCTTTTTTCTCTCAAACTTCCTCTTTCCACCCAAGTGTGTAAACAGGTGAATTTAATGCTGGGGTAGCCCTGGGATGGATCAGCATCCCATGCAGGGGGGAATAGAAATACTCCTAGTCACTTCATGCTACAGAAACCAGNGGGGGGGGGGGGGGGGGGGGGGGGGGGGGGAGTGCGGTGTAAGCTCTATGACTTTTAGTGATTCAGTAGGTGTCACTGTAACACCTTGACAAAGTCAAATGATTGCTGACATATTATTACACTTTGCAGTTAGCACAAGAAAGGGTGAAGGATTTTATGGCCAACAACTCTCTGGTTTCACAAGTATTAGAAGCTGGAGATCTGCTAACTTCAGCAAAACAGTCTATCAAGAATGAGGCTGAAATTCTGTCACAGCTTTTGTGCAAGGGGGGAGAGCATACGCTTTCTGGTGTGTCAGAATTTTTGAAAAGATACCATGAGAATCAAAGCACTCTTGAAACACTGTACAACTTAGTAAATGAACACATTATCAGCCATCTAGCTTGTGAAGGAGTGGAGTTGTTTTTGGAGTATATTTGGACAATGAAGCCTGATTTTTATGAGCAGGACTTTTTGGCAGCAAACATGCAGCACATTGACGATGAGGGATTTTATTTCATGGCAGAAGAACGTCAAGTACCAAGGCGGTCAATTCTGTATATTGGTGCAAGATAAGCTACAACAATAATGATTAGATTTTTTTCCAGATAAAAATGACCATGATCATTATATTTTAGGTGATATTGGGTGCTTACCAATTTGTCAGAATAAACCAGTTGGGATGACCGTTGATTGAAGGTAAAGGTTTTTCCAAAAATTAGCAAACCAATTGAAGGAGATGGCTATACCAATTTACAATAAATTTAGATTTCTCATAATATTATAATTATTTTTGGCTGATGACAGACTGGAAACTGGAGAATTAAACAGGTGGTAAAGAAATTATTGCTGTTCTGTTATAAACGGAGAAAGAGGACTTCCTCAGGAGGTTGTCTTCAATTCCCAAACAGATTTTCCAGAAAATTAATATAATTACTGTTCCATTTGCCATTCAACCAAAATTTCAGGATGTTGCGGCTAAGTGGCAAGCACCTGTGGTTACATTTAGCTGCCAGTAAGGAAATGAAAAGACTAAAAACTCTACTGCCCAAGTCTTACATTAGCATAAACAATGCTTGCTGAGGTTAGCTGAGTTGAAACTTTCCGTAACATTTGACATAACAAAGGGTGCAGGACTACTTTTTTATGTTTAACTTAGTAGTAAACATCCATGGCAGCAATCTCCTGGATCATTTTGGAGTCTCCCAGATTCAGACCATTTTTGCCAGTCTGTCAGAGGAGTGGTCCAAACTCCTGAATACAAAGGAAAGTGCTGAAAAATTATGTACAGTGGTTGCACACTTTATGAACTGTATAAATTCAGGATTGAGTCGGTGAAGCTCTTTCTTGGTCTGCCATTTTTTCAGAGTCAACAAAAGGTACATTCTCGCAAATTGGCAATTGTTTTTTTTTTTTAGGGTTCTTTTACATTGGCATCACAGAGTTAAAGGAGGTCTGTTCACCTAGAATCTTAGATTAGAATGACTAAATTAATGCCCTATTTATTACATAACTGTGCTTTTCAACATCATGAACTATAATCCTTGAAATTTAATTTTTAACTGGCAGTTGCTTTTTTCACTGCAATTTGCATGTTTGTAAACCAAGTTTACAGCAATAAAAGAAAACCTGTGACATAAAACTGGAAGCTGGATTAGCAACCTTTCCTATAGGATAGGAAGAAAAAGATTTTTAGAAAAAAACAAAAATTAACTGCACATTTAAATTTATCTAATTTTGTGGCCAGGCTTATGCTAAACAGCCAAGCTAACATTGACACATGTTAAGTGGAAAGAGGTACACACAATGCCTTGCCTCCTGTGGTGCAAATGGTGGATCCCACTTTGAACTAGATATCACACTCTCTAGTGGATGGTGTAGTCTGTTTTGTTGTAAGTTATCTACTGGATGTGAATTGCCAAGTGGATAGTGTTATCCACCCTTTGAACAACTGGGCCCTGATCTAAATGAAGACCATAATTGGATTATGTTGCCTGAAGAACAGAAAGCTTGGCCTGGAGACTTGTTTTTAAGAAGACGACTTGTATTATATCTAGTTGATACTACTGTAAAAGTCATGTAATATATTTTGCTTTCATAGAATGTTTTAATGTATATATTTTATTGAAAATTGCCATTTTATTTTAATGCCAGTACATGCTGAAAATAAAGAGTTACTATTGTGCCCACCATGTTGGTGTATAACTTGTTGCGACTTGTCAGTGATGCTCTATGTTACTTCCTACACAGTGTGCAAACAGGCTCACCTTTGAGTCATATATGTGAGCGGCAAAGAGCGAGTCCATGAGTGAAGTGATCAAGCAGGAGAAGTCTGGTGAAGTGGCGCCTTTTGCTTCTTTGTTACCCTAACGTGAGCATGCATACAGGCTACTTCCTACATAAAAACTTCTTTTGATTTGTGATGCGGGACAAGCAATAAGAACGTCTGTATAGGAGGCTAGTAGTACCAGTATATTTGATGATGAAAAAAGAAACCCTGATGAATGGAATTTGTTTAACATCTCACCAAATTCTCATTCTAATATCAACAGAAATATATGGCAATCAGTAATGAGAAAGAATTAAATAATCAGTTTGAATGGCAGTAGAAACTAGAGCATAGCTCACAGGCAATGTGTGATATTACTAAACAGCATTTTAAATATGTTAGCGCATACCACAAATACAGTTTATTCAGTCTGGTTTTATTTACCTGCAAATATTTTACTTTATTTACATCCAGTCCAATTTTTGTTCTGGTTTATATTAAATGTATTGTTTATATACAGATTTCTGTCTCTCACTGTGTGCTACTGTACATGTACTGTACTACTACACTGTAGAAGCATTTCACACCACTAGCTATAGACATCTTTTGTAAAGTTTCATCTAATTCAGCTATAGAGGTGCCATGTTAAAGCTTCAATAAATTATCTCTCTGTTGAACCTCGATTTCACAAACCTCTATACAACAAAGTCCTCGTTATAATGAACAATTTTCTTCACCCTATTAACAGTAAGATATATGGAAAGGAACCTCGATACAAGGAAATCTCATTATAGTAAGCACATTTTGCCAGTCCCTTGGTCCTTCGTTTAAGGACTATTTGAATTTTTTCTCAATAAATACCATCATAGGCATGCAAAGCACACAAAAGGCTATGAACATGTGCCCTCTACATGGCCAAACTTGTTCCCACCTAGTCTCTCATCTTTCCTCCCTCCAACATTGTTCCCAGGGTCTCTCATATTCCCACCCTCCTGGAGAAAGAGGGGGGGGGAGGGGAAGAGGGTAATACTTTCAGGGGGTTGTTACTTTTGGGGAATAAAAAATATGATATAAAGTTGCTGCGACTGAGCTTACAACGTAAAGATGGAAACTTGTAAATGTAGTTCTTGAAACCTGAGATGAAATTCTTTGTTCCAGTTCAAATTTATGTTGCTGCCACATGAGTGGGCTCTTGATATCTGAACTGTTGTAAGTGGTCAGCAGAAAAGCTACAATGGGTGACAAAAGCATTGAGACACTGCTATTTAGATGAATTACCAACCCCTCCCCCCACGACAATGTTGGATTTCCTTTCCCTAAAACTTTCCTCTTTCCTGTGCAACATTGAAAGGGGGAGGAGGTTCTCTTCTCTATGCCAGTAAACCAAGTTTGAAATGGAATAACTGAAATATTGAAATTAGCACTCAGTTTAGCCTACTGTCTCAACTTCTTTTGTCGCCCATTGCAGTCAGATACCGTAAACTGTTCCTACTTAATGGCCCACTGCTATGTTGGCCTGCTCTATCAATAACTTGGTGCGCTGGTCGAGTTTTCAATTTTTATTTGACGAAGCATTCCTGTTACTTGGTGAAGTCTCTACTATGGGTTTTGTCTTAGCAGTGCTCAGCATGAACTGATGAAGCACAAAATGACATTTCACAATGCTTGCTGTACATTGTAGAGCTAGTGTCTTAGCTATCTTGATCAAGTTACTGTATGTTACACTCACTTAACCATCAAAAGATTGGAAACAAAAATATACCATTGAATGTTGGTCTGGCTTTGTTTGAGGTGGGGGGGGGGGGGTGGGGCTGAAGGTGGGGTCACTACTTTCGGGGCATTGCTACTTAGCAGCCACAATTTTTTGACTTTACTTCCAGGGGGTTGCTACTTTTGGAATTTTTTGGTACCTATGGTACTATCTAATAAAGTTGTCCTGTCATCAATTAAAGGCTGGTTTCCATCCCACTGCAATCCCAGCTCCACTTCTTCCCAAATTCATACTGCTAACCAACTTCCAACGATCTTCATCGGGAATGTACTCCTCAAGAGTGTTCAAAAACCCTTCTCCATCATAACCTCCGACCACGTAAAGTTTACCACAGAGGACAGTGGCACTGAGAGCACTTCTCCTGTGTATCAGAGAGGAAATAACTGTCCATTTATCAGAAGATGGATCATAACGTTCTACGCTGTTTAGCTGTGTTTCACCATTGTATCCACCAATGGCATAAACATAGTTGTTCAATGATGCAGCTCCAGCTCCACTGCGATGCTCAACCAGTGGAGATACCAGCTTCCATAGATCAGTATCCACGTCATAGCATTCAACACTGAAATGAAATTTCAATCAAGAGCCATCAGTTGTACATTAAATTTCTTTACTAAATTATATTGAAGCCATATTAGGGGTTTTTGAGATAGGGGTTAAAAGTTAATGGAATGCCTAATATTTCTGGGGAAAATTAATGGAATATAGGACATTAAGATCAGATAAAATGAGATATCGAGAAGGAAAATCTTTAATTTTTGAAACTGGAAATTACGGAATACAGGATATTTGGGCCAAAAACTACCAGGATGGGGGGTACCTAACCCCACTAAATTATGGGGTCCCACTATTTTGAAAGTTAGACAACCACAAGCAATTAAGTGGGCAGGACAGGCACCAATCATACATTTTTTTTCTTTTGCATGTGATTTCTTATTAAAGAAGAGCATAATCTGTGAGAACACTCCTTTATGTTTTTTGACCCCTGCATAGAAATGCCAAATGAATAATTTATTACTATATGTACCATATGCTTCTGTCCTTCTTTGAGTAATAGCATCCCTCACAAAAATGGTTCACTTGGCTTCTTCATAGTCAAGTCATACACTGTCAAACAGATATGTTACCTCACTTTAAAAGAAGCATTCACCAACCTTCTTAGTCTGTTTCTTCCATCAAAACCACCTGCTGCATAGAGCTTTCTACCAAGCACTGCAACGGCAACACCTACCAAAGTCAATTTATGTAATATTAATCAAATACAAACACTATGTTATGACAGGAGATTCAACTACAGGATTACCAGACTCAACAAAGTGACGCTGGGGTACATTTTTCTGCAGGAACAGACTGTTCAGCATCACCAAAAGAGAATTAGGCTCCTGCAATCAACAGCATCCTGCCATGGGCACAACTGTATGAACATGGTACCACAGGAAGGCCAAGCACAATTTATTATGACTACCCGGTACATGTGTCAATTTCCACAATGATACATGCTTGAACTTACTTCTGTAGTAGTAGTTTATGAGTGATTCATCCAGGACATGATCTTTATGTACCTAATTGACATTGATTCTAAAATTAAATATATACCTATCCTGGGAAAGTTCAATGGCATAACAGTTGTCCATTCATCCTGCTTGGGGTCATATTTTTCCACTGAAGTATGACAAGTGTTGCCATTTCCACCGCCAATGGCATAAATAAATCCATCAACGGTTGCCACGCCTAACCTGTTGCGTGGTACACTGAGGGGTTTAACTGGCCTCCACTCATCTCGGAGAGGATCATATCTATCTACAGAGGCAGTGTCAATGTTCCCTGATGAGGTGTTATTGCGACCACCAATAATAAACAGCATGTTATCTGTGAATGTAGCAATTAAATAGATCTCATTAACTAGTAAGCATGAGGCCCAAGGTCTTGACAGTACTGATGCTAGGGTTGTCAAATGTCAAGCCATCTACCAACAGAAATCACCTCCAACTACACCATTATCCCAACCAGCCACCTCTGCTGGGCTATTTCTCTGATTCTTTCTGATAATGTGGAAAAATGAGAATTATACTAGGGCCGCGAAGCGGCCTGAAGTTATAATTCAAATTATATGAACAGATGAAGTGAGAAATACATGAGACAACAAATGGTAGGAATTTCCCAGTTAATGCTTCAAACTACTTTTTAACACCATCAGAAGGGCGAACCCCCCTAAAGAAACAATAAAAGGGGCCTGGGTATACCCACAAGGCTCTCGGACCTAGATCTCGTGGTCTCCTGATGCTTTGGTGGCTTTTTGATGCCATGGAATAGACAGGCAAAAGAGAGACTCCATAGGAGGGAGGGAAGAAGGGTGGGAAGCTCATATATTNAGACTTACCTTTGAGACAGGTTTTTCAGTAAAGCCAAAAAAGGACGCCTTTAGCTCTAGATAATTGATGAGTTCGAGAGACTCTGTTGTGACCATCCTTTTGCACCCCAACCTTTCTTGGATGCGTCAGTTGTGATCATATCTGGCGGAGGAAGGTGCATGGGATTGCCGTTTGCATTGAGGGTGTGTTTCAACCACTAAGCACATTCTACTTTGGCACTCGGTGACAGGCCAATCAAAGCGTCGGAAGACTCCTGGTTCATTTGTAGGCCTCTTATCAGATGTGACTGCAAGTGACGAAAGTGTAGTGGAGCTTGCCAAATGGCTGGTCTCGAGGACTCTAACAGGCCTATTAAACTTGCTAGGTTTTGCAATTTAATACTTTGAGAAACGAGCAGCTGGCAACAACAGTCTAGAATTTTGTTGGCCTTTTCTGCCGGGAGTGATATCATAATGCACATTGAGTTGATTTGGAAACCCGGGAAGGTTATCACTTGTGTTGGAATCAGTAATGATTTCTTGAGGTTTATTTTTCAACCTAGGGACTGAAGGAAAGTCACTACCAGCTGAGTATTTTTCACAGCTACCTCCATTGTAGCAGCCAAAAGAAGAAAGTCGTCCAGGTAAATAAAGACTCGAATGGCCTTCTTCCTCAGGAATGGGGCAACAGGTTTTAGAACTTTCGTAAAAATTCTGGGGGCTGAACACAGGTCGAATGGAAGGGCTTTGAACTGGTAACATGTTCCCTTCCAAAAGAAGTGAAGGAACTTTCCGGAAGACTCGTGAACAGGCACAGAAAGGTAAGCATCTTTTAAATCTGTGTATATTTGTATAAAATCTCTGGTAAAAGCAATGTCTTTAGGCAACTGAGGTTTTCCATCTGGAAATGCTCGTTTACAATGAACTTGTTCAAAGAACGTATCACCGGACGCAAAGATCCTTTTTGAATACAAGAAACAGGCAGCTGTTAAAAAACTGTCTCTGGTAAAAGGGGTCTTATGTATGGCCCCTTTTTGCAATGACTCGTTCACTTCCTGGGATATTAGGAGTGCCTCCTGACCCGATGTTAGGATAAATGGTGGAGACTTTTGAAAAGGAGTTTTGAGGAAACTTATATTGTAACCTGAAACAATTGAGAGAATCTAGGGGTCCGATGTTAGGGTTCTCCAAGACACCATGCACTCTGGGAGTCTGGCTGACGTCCCTTCCGGGGAGGGGGACGAAAAAGCCATTTTTTGAACGAGGCCGTTAGTAATTTGACTGAAATTTAGAAGGGTGGGAATACCCAGTGGATTGATACTTGTTAAAGGTGTCTCCTCGATGTCTACTTTGAGACTGGGCACTATTACTACATCTTTAGAAAAGGATTTCCCCGTAGTCTGTGCCAATTTTTTGATGAGACCCCTTGACAACTCGGCCTGTTTTGAGGCCAAGAGGGGGAAATCATCTCCAAATAACCATGATTTTGCATTAGGCAGAGGTAGCTCCACGAGGTTTGTCCTCGAACGGTTTATGACTGCAAGGACTCTCTGTCGTTTCAGGATAGACAGTTGAGCGTTGGCTGAGCCTAAAAGGCAAAGAACTTGTTCAAAAGCTACTTTAATTTCCTCATAAAGTGGAGCTGAATCATTTTCGATACAATCACGAGGGCCACAAAGTGGGCCCGTGGCAATTAAGAAAGCACACTGAACATTAAACATTTCCTTATCCATTTCTTGTACAAACTTTTTCACTTTAAATTGTTGCTCGAGTTTTAGAGCAGAGAGTGCATCCACTTCAGGAGTTGCCCAGTCATCCAAAATAACAAGAGATGGCTGGTAAGATAAAATGTAATATTCTCCAAAAAGTGGTATCCAGAAACTTGGAGAAAGAAGCTGATTGTTTCCAGGAGGTTGACTTCGCAACTGGGTCAAACGGCCCATGATCATCACTAGATTTCGTTGAGTTTTCAGCTTCGTCAGATGTCTTAATAGACTCTGTTGGTGCCTTTGTAGGCGCTAGGGGTGCCTGAATAGGCTCTACAGGTGCCCTAACGGGCGTAGTAGCAGTCTTAAAAGATGCTTCGGTTGCCAAATATTTGCTAATCCCAAAGCCTGACGTTTCACCAGCCATAATCGACAAAAGCATCATCATCAGTATCTGCAGTAGTTTCTGGCTGATTTGCAAGGGACTCAAATGAATCTCTTCAGTTGGAAAGACATTCAATCGACTGAAGAATCTTCTGAAGGGAATCGTTTTCGTCCTTGCCCCGTTTTGGCAGGGACCCTTCATGATGTACGTCAGGCGACGAAACAGAGTTTTGGCGGGAAGATGGCGACCGAGAGCAAGACCTTTTTCACGACTTGTGTCTACTATGGGACATGTTCAGCGATTTTAAATATCCTGAAGAACAACAAATATCACCTAAAAGAAACCTACTGTGTAAAAATACAGAGGCAAACCCTAAAAAACGGTTAGAATTTGTAAAAAAGCAGGGCAAAAGCAAAATACTTACCGACTGGTTTGAAGCACAAGGTAAAAAGCCACCAAAGCATCACGGGACCATGAGATCTAGGTCCCAGGGCCTTGTTGGTATACCCAGGCCCCTTTTATTGTTTCTTTAGGGGGGTTCGCCCTTCTGATGGCGTTAAAAAGTGGTTTGAAGCACTAACTGGGAAATTCCTACCATTTGTTGTCTCATATATTTCGAACGAAGTCTGTGAAATATAATCAGCCACCAACTCAAACAATTAAGAGTGACAACCCTGTGTGAAGATTTATAAAAATATTACTTTATCTAACCACATACTTTATCTCAGATCATACAGTCCTGTCATAAACTACTAACAGGTATTACTGTATAACATCAATAATGCAAGCAAGTAAGACAATGAGTAAGTATGTACTAGATTACTGGATGTACTAGTAAGGACTTTCCACACTTGTCTGCAATCTGGATCAAAGGGACATAAAGTTTTCTAAAAGGACTTTGAGTGGGTACCCAAGTTTTACATGACTAGTGCAGTTTGTGGATGTGCTTGTGTCAAGAATAGGATTATAATAATGTTCTTGGATCAGTGAACTCACATCTAAAACTGCAGCTAGCCATCATTGTAAACTTTAAATATCTAATCAACAATTTGAAAAAACGAATTCAAAGATTTTTTGTGCTCTCAGCATTGGCCATTTCTCTTTTGGTTTTGTGCTCGCATGCCACTCTTTCGTGATATTTTAAATTCAACAGTTCAAAGATTGAAGAAAAATACAAGAAAAGGGGGTTGGGGGGGAGGCTATAAATAGTCTAGTTCAAACTCGAATGGTTCAATCTCAAAATTAAGCAACCGCATGTGGCATCTCCCATGTTTAGAAAATACTGTACATCAATTTAAAGATGACATTTCTAAAACCTACTAAAATTAGGATGAAAAAAGAAAAAAACAGGAAAACTATAACTTGCCAACATAAGCAGCTCCTAATCCACTCTTAGGGACAGACAGTGGAGAGAGAATGGTCCACTTCACAGTCAAAGGATCAAAACATTCCAGAACGTCAAGAGATCTTCTCAGGTAACCCCCGGCAAAAAACATCACAGTTGGACCAGGGGGGCGCCTCTTATGAATTGTCCTGAGAGTAGACACTCTCTTTGTGTCCTATCAAGAGAAGAACACGTTTTGACACAGTGCCTAATACATGCATTGCCTAGTTTTGAAGTATTTTTTACTTTTTAATAATAGTTTTTAGTTGCAGTATGTTGTTTTCCAGCTATTTGTTGTATAGCACTTTTTATCACCAAACATAAGCAATCATTAAGTTAAATTAAATAATCCTAATTTTACAATTATTTATTATAATATTACAATGTATTATTAAATGAGATATTATGATCTTCTGCTCTGGTTGCTGATGTGTCACACTCAAAAACCTATAATGGTGAAATTCACAACAGAAAGGGTCTGATAACATGGGATTCTGTATTAAATAACCATTTATTCCTCAGTCTTTAGGGATAAATTCTTAACTGTTGACATATCATAAATCCAAAATGACAGGACTGCATATAAGTCTTACGGTGCTCAGATTGAGATCATCTACATCAAAATTGTAACTGTGTACTGCATAAACTAGATAATACTTAGAGATTTAAAGCTACTTACTGAAAATGCATCAATCAAAACTTGCTTGAACTCTGATCTCAACCCTTGTTCACAACACTGGATGAGTGACTTAAGGTACGAAGTGGAAACAAAAGGGACTCGTATATAACTTAGGAGATCCTTTAGTTCTGTTGTTCTGTCCTTGATATTATGTGTAACCCATCTTAACAGGGCTGCCAGAACCTAATGTGTAATAAATGAAAGGAATCAATTCACCAGAAACAGAGATGTGATCATCTAGGCCAACTCTCCCACATTATCCAGGAGTCTCCCAGGGATGGACAGAATCTCCCTGTCTCCTGCCAGGTCATCAAATCTCTTAGATACTAAGGAGAGCATATAAAGTACTTTTTTCACACATATTTTGGACACATTTGGGCAAAATGTTTGCAATATTTAATGCAATTTTGCAGTTGAATCATTGGATCCTCTTTTTTAGGATCATGAAAATCAAGGTAGTTTTTTGTAGTTTTTCAGAGGTTCTCATTAGTATGAAAAGCACCCCCCAGTTTTTTTCACACCTCCAATCCCCATTTTAGACCAAAAAAGACCCATCCTTATACTAGCCATTCTCCTCTTTTCCAAGCAGGAAAGGGCTCACCACCACTTTGCCCTTTCCTCCCCTCCCCCCCCCCCCCAGTAAATGTATATAACATCTGGCAGGAATTTTCTGGCTCAAACCCCAAAGGGAGTCAGGATTCTCTCAGAAAACTGTCTCCTTCCTGGAACAGACAAGAACAGACAACGTCTGTAGACAAATATCATGCATACTTTCATGCCAGATAAAGGTGACAGTTTTTCACTCTAACATCAATGAGAGATGAGGGCTATAAGACAAGAAGGGATTGAGATCTGACAAGGGCAAGGCTTGTTCTAACCCCATCTAATTTATACCTCCCCTATTGTGTTAAAGATTGCAGGAATAAACACTTGTTGAATCCTAAGAGAAACCACAGACTGTGAGCAATCTAAAATGAAGGTTACGTTTTATACATAATACTCTACAAATTTGCTTAACAGCTTCAACATGTTACTTGTCCTGCACTTTTTTCTTCTGACCATGTGAAAAATCAGATTAACAGGAAATGGTAACAGGAACTGATCAAGAAATAGACTCTAGTGCAGCGCACCCCACCTCATCTTCCGACTTGACAAAAAGTTCATCACGACTAATAAAATCAACCAACCGCTCCCTGGACAAGTCTTCAAACTCCTCGCTTTCTGACACTTGCAAAAAGTGACGAAACATAAACTTTTCAGCTGCCTTGGTTAAATCAACACAACCGTAAATCTCCGCGAAGTCTTTAATGCCAATGCAGTTCGAGGGATCAAGCTGTGATTGTAAAAAGTCGCAACAAGCCTTTTTGACTGGACAGATTTGTAATATACAAGCCACAGGTAGCAAATATTGTACATTTTCTTCAGTAATCTTAATCTGTGCTGTGTAAGCAAATTCGATCAAAAGTTCAACGCTTCTTGGATCCATCGACTTCAATGTGATACTGTTTTGGCGACTTTCCACGACGTCATTTGTAAACATTGCGTAGAAGTATGGGCTGAATGAGGCCAGGACAAGCTTATGAGCATAGATCTCGAGTTCTTCGACACGAAGAACGATGTCACATAATTCTCTCCTTTTTCGTAAATCGTTCATAACACCGAACGCTAATTTCATATGCTCTTCTAAGAAAACATTTTCTTCCATAGGATCCATTGCGAGTACACTAATATTTTACAACTTTGGTGTATATTTTTCTTGTGCAAAATATGTTTTGACTCCACTCCTCGTTTTTAGTTTGTATAGTGATTGGTAGCAGCCTCTGTTACATTGCGGGCGCTTTCCACTACGCATGCGCTGTTGAGGAAAACACCATTGACCCGAGAGTCACATTGGTGGCAATTGTGCGTCTTGAGCGCAGATTTCAGTATGAGGAGGAATTTTTCAGGTCTGAGTGAAGTCTTTGCAAGGTTACCTAGAGAGTGTGTTGTTGAGCCAGCTGATCTGCGTGTCCTTTTTTGCAGGCGGGAGGTATGAAAACCTCGACGAACCAAGCCCTCTCGATCTCAGCCGTGGTAAGTAAATTATGCTTATTTTTGGCCAATAAGGACTTCATGAAGTCGAAGGGCTCGTGGCTGTTTGGCTTTCATGTTATGCAGATTTTGTTTTAAAGCACAAGCGAAGTCGACTAAAGCATTTAAGCTTATATTTGAAATTGATCAACAATTTTCAGCTGTTTGTTTGTATTGGTCTGTGTTCGAGAATGGTTGATCATTTTCTGGGGTCTGACAATACGTAAGCTTGCTTCTTAGACAATATGCGATATCGGCTTGTGAGCCCTCAATCGCTGAAGATTAATTAAGTTTATAATTAATCACAGCTGTTAACGTGTAGTGATAAACAGCCTTTCACAGAAACTAAACCACCTCTATGAAAAACAAAAATTAAGTGCCTGGAAATGTTTACAAGCACCCAGCTGTCAAGGTGAGAAACGTTGACATTTTAAGACCTTTAAAGTGCCAGTTTTTTTTTTAAAGTTTCCTTTTTCAGTACAAAGAATGCTTAATTTATTAGCATTATTTCATATAATCTTACCTCTCATTTGGTGAAGGGACATCCATTTTGTTTTTATTATATATTATAATATAGATAAGACCCTGCGGGCACTCTGATTGGTCAAAAGCCCATGTTTTATCAGAGTATAAAACATAAAAAAAGCGTGTTTTATTGTTTTTCAGCACATTACATCTATATCATAAAGCAAATGAAGAAGCCTAAGCCATGTATTACACCGTGATAAAACACTCTGGACATTTGAGAACACTCGAGAAATGTAGAAAACACTTATGTGGCTTGTGTTTTCTACATTTCCTTTGTGTTCTCAAATGCCTGTTGTGTTTTATTGTGCAGTGTAATACCTGGCTTAGGCTTCTTTTGTTTGTTAAATACATAGATTTAGCCAAACTTAAAAGTGGAGCTCCTGGGCCGTGTTGTTTAAGGCCTGATTAAGCTAACCCAGAATAAGCAAGAATTTTCATTTGAGTTTTGTAACTTTGCAGTGAGCTTTTCTGTATATTGTTTGTCCTTCTGTTTGAGTTTGAACAATCTCAAAATGCACAAAACATAAGTAGTGAAAAACGTTTGTCTCCAAGAAAAATTTATACTTCGGTTAACTTTTAACCCTGTGTTAGGGTTAACCGGCTTCTGAACAACCCGGCCCTGTTTACATGAAGTTAACCTGACATGAGCCAGTCAGACACTATCTTACCCTTAACGGCTTCAGAACATGTTTCCAGGGCATTGTCCTGGTGGCTTCTGCACAAATGTGTAGTCTGTAACAATTATTTAGTCTTACCTACTGTAACTTTACCTTACCCTCCCTTATTGCGAGAGGATTAGCTCTTGTACTTTGTCAGTAAATTGGTGTCTCTCCTTGTGATTCGTTTAAGTCTACCTTTGTCTTGGCTGATCCGGTGTAGGGTGAGGAAATAAGTAAGGCTCTGCCAATGTGTTTGGGTTCTATGCCATGTCGGTGGGGAGATAAGTGCAGCATGTGGGTGTTTGACTGTGTGTGTATTTTGTTCTTGTTATATTTATCTTATTGTATTACTTCTACATTTACTATTTCCATGTAGAATAATGAGATTAATAAGTTATGATATTGGACCTACAAAAAGACAACTTTTGACAGCTTGTTAACAACAACAACAACAGATAACGACAAACTGAACATCATTGATTTCTCTAGAATGTGCTATTCATCAAACATGGATATGCAAAAGTCATTCAGCGTACAATGCTTTGTTAATGTACTTAATATTGTATACTGAAGAAGTTAAAATAACTTCAACAACTGATACTTTAACTGAAGAGTTAACTATTTCTCCAGCTCATGAAAGTCAGATAATTGTTGTGCTATTTCTATTTCCTTGGAAGTAATTCCTATGAATTGTAACAGGAAGGAAAAATTTTACTGATCTCTTGACACACAATGCCTACAGCTTCCACTTAATGATATAATCACTAGTTGAAACTTTGCAGTCCTAACTTTTGACCTGCTCTAGAGGTTATAATTTCTTAACAAACAGCTTTCTAGTTAATTTTCAATTAAGGAGTGACAACAACTTTTTCTTGGAAGTAAGTAGGAAGTGTGCTAAGTGAATTTCATTTTGATCAAATGGTCTTGGTTAGAGTGTGGTAACAAATAGGGGCCTTTATGTTGTGTAGATAAGTTGTTCTTGGAGGTGCAGTGACCTGGATCAGTGGTCCTGGTTCAATTTTACTTCAGATCAAATGGTCTTTGGTTAGAGTGTGGTGACAAATAGGGGCCTTTATGTTGTGTAGATAATTTGTTCTTGGAGGTGCAGTGACCTGGATCAGTGGTCCTGGTTCAATTTTACTTCAGATCAAATGGTCTTTGGTTAGAGTGTGGTGACAAATAGGGGCCTTTATGTTGT